GTTACATTTTCAGAGAATCTACAGTATATATTCCATACACTTTTATATGTTGCATACTCATTTGCTTTGACTTGTTTTGTAGTCCATTATATACAAACAGCCATAAAAGAGCCCTGTTGCATCAAACCAATAGGCCTGTCTTCTCAGTATCCTGTTTCCTACAATGCTCAGTAGATAGGGTTTCTTTGCGTTTGTATCCTGGGGATGTGAATATGAAGCACAGCATCACAGATGCCACAGAGGTCCATTCCCTCCCCCCAGAACCAGCCTGGTCCATTCAATGGCTCTGTGTGGCACATATGTCCATCATTGTCACCACACCAGTTGTGGAAGTAGCCCAGCTGTTGCTTCCCTGCCTCTTTCCACATCGGGTCACTCCAGCAAAGTGAAATGACCAGCTAGAAGCTCATAGAAAACCCAGAAGCAGGGCATGGCAGTAACATCCCATTGCTACTGCATATTTATTTTAAAAATCCTGCTATTCTGAGCCATGATTCTTCTTACCCTGGAAGTATCAGCCATCACTGTGACTAGTGACCACTGAAAACATAGAATCATGAAATAATGGAGTTGTTCTGTCTAGTCCACACCTAGTTAGCTTGTTAATTAGAATATCATGGGGCACTTTGTCAAAGACTTTGCTGAAATCAAGATATGTTACATCTACAGCATTCCCACCGTTTACCAGGGTTGTTACCTGATCAAAATATAAGATAAAATTAGTCTGGCTGGATTTCTTTCTTTCATTGACAAGTCCATGTTGGCCTCTTGTTATTACTACATTGTTTGCATTAATATTTCCAACCCCTTTGAAAACTGGTGGTCATCACCATATCTTGTGAAAGTGTATTTCACAATTTAGTTATACTCTGTACAAAGAAATTCTTCCTTTTGATCCTTTAAACATTTCACCCTCTTTGGATGATTCGAGGAACTAATGCTGAGAGAGGAAGAAACACATAATGATCTGCTTTTCCCACACCATAAATGATTTTACAGTCCTCATGAGGTACTCTTAAAAACATTACTCATTTTCTGCTCTAAATTAAAGCGTGCTTGATCTGTTCAAATTGCACAGGTCCTTAATTTATCTATATGCTTGACTTTTTATTGATGTACTTTTGTCAGAGGGAGAGAGAAGCTGGACCAGCGAAGTAGAACTGAGGAAGATGCTGTAGACATACAAAGAATTTTCTTCAGTCTATCCCACTGGTTCCCAGTCTGTGGGTTGTAACCACCAAGGTCAGCAATGTGTTTTCTTGGGAGGGGTGTTGCTGCAGTTTTTGGAGGAGGGGGACATGTTTCCCTTGACTCACATACCCCTTCCTGGTTCCCTTCTGCACACACACTGCCCCTCCGCCATTTGTATGCCCCCAAGCCAAGCTCTCTTTGCTCCTTGCTATTGTGCTCCTACATGCCTCAGGCCTCCTGGTTGCACACTCTCTTTCTTGGCTCTGCTGACTGGCTAGCTAGCACAGTGGCCTGGACAGGGAGAAGCAGGAGGTGGGACCCAGCCACAGACCCTGTGAGCCAGGCCAGCCATGGTGGGGATTGAGAGGCCAGGAGCCAGTGGCAGAAATGGTGGAGGAAGATGAAAAGGCTGCAGCTACCATCAAAGCAATTTCACCCCACCAAACCACACACTACTGCTATGACCATCTTGGAGAGGACAGCTGAGGGGGCAGTGGTGGTAGAGCCAATGCTGAAAAGAGGAAAAAAGGTTGCCTTCCTGAGGGAAAACTCTCTCTCTCCCAGTAAAACCCATTTTTAACTAACCCTTATTACCTCCACCTCCTGCAGCCTGTTAAGAGTTGGGGGGGAGTGACTTTAACAAACAACCAGCCACAAATGTCGAAGCTGATTGCCCAGATGCGAGTACAAACATCATATTAAATATTAGGTTAAAATGATATTCTGAAAAAATCTACTTTTATTTGTTTTCTTTGCCCTATTAAAATGCCTTTGATGCAAATTTGGCTCTTATTAAAAAGGGAGTCATGACTCAAAAAAGGTTGGGAAATACTGGTCTGCCCTATAGACTGCCTGGTCCACAGAAGGATCAGTCAAATATTTGTAGATAAAGCTAGAATATGCTTAATCAACAAATCTGGATAGCTGCTGGTGGGCATATTTCAGTGGTGGAGTGGTGGGCAAATTTCTAAAAAGAATCAACCACAGAATTAATTTTATGTCTTCAAACCTGGAATACAAAGTACTGTCATGTTAAGCATACCCCATCAGCCCAATTAACAATAACGAAGGTGAAACTATATTGGAATATGTACAAAACATCTTAATCTCACCATTAAGTAACCCAGCTCCCAAATAAAGCACCTCTTTCTTGGGATATGTTGAAATGAATGATTAAAAATATGTCTGCTATACTAGTTCATCTTGTTCAAAATGATTCTCTGATCATTTCTAAATATAGGAAGGAAGGGGGTATTTCATTTTGTGATTTCACGTTATGATATTTCATTTACTGAAATGTTAGCTACCTGATGCAGAAAAGAAAGTATTTTAAAGACTATGGATTTGTGTGTAGTAAGAACGGTATTAGAATGTTCTAGTATTAAAATAGCCACTCATCAAAGCACTAGCACTTAGATATTGAGATTCACTTTGCATTAAGTATCATTCTAGTTTACTGCAATGAAATTCAATTGTTGTTTTGTTGTGAGAAGTATATGTTAATCAGACACAATTAAAATGCTTTACTCAAAAATATTACCGTTACCCATTCATTGTTGATTATTAATTTTTTTTTAATGTGATGACTGCTGGTAACTTTTTCAGGTTTACAATTCCTGGTTGATTTAGATTCTAAATCTAAGAACAAGAACTGGATCCATCCCAAAGCAGAGTTCTTTTACAAGTTAATGAATAGATTTCTGCTATTTCTGCTTCAGACAGCTGCTATGCATATTATCATGGAAGCAGAAGCAAGCACTAGACCATCTAAATTAAGTATGTTGCACGTAGGAGTATCCATCCATTAGGAAACAGAGGCACATCACACCTACCATCCTATTAATACTTACTAGGACATTCTGTTGAACAGTGTGGTACAGTGGTACCTCAGTTTACGAACGCCTCGGTTAACATAATTTTTGCTTTACGAATGGAAATCCATTGAAAATAATGCCTTGGTTTACTTTTTTTTCAGAGTACGAAGAAAGTTTGCCCAGGATGCATAGTGCCTGGAGGTTTGTAGTGCCACCCCCGTTCTTATGGCAATCCATATTTCAGTTTACAAATTTTTCGCTTTACATAATGTCCCCTAGAATGCATTGATTTCGTAAATCGAGGTGCTACTGTACTTCTAAAAAATGTTTAGGACTGAAAAGAAAGATCCTTGTACAGGCTGAGTAGGGAACTGTGGACAACAAATTTCTGTCACTGACCACCAAACACTCTGGCAGGGGCTGCTGGAGCTGCTGCGGCAGAACATTAAGCAGGTTCATCCCAGGTTCCTGACTTATACCATACTGCAGACATTCCTATTTGTTTACACAGTATAACTCTATTAGGTGCCATATTAATGATGGGTGCTAAACAATAATAATTATACATGGCAAATAAGCCTCAATTAAGACAAGCCAAGGAAAATAAAACTACTATCTAATGTGAACCAGAGCAACTTTCCTTCTCCTTTTGATACTACAGTTCTAGGCTACAGCCATGAATATCAAATATATTTCTATCAGTGCAAACCTCCTCAGACATCTGCCCCATATGGTTCAATGGGACTTAAGTTCATGTAATAGTACAGCATTGCTATCGAAAAGCTTTAAATACAACCCACCTAGGGCATATCACCCTTCAAGAGAACTATAAAATTAATATATTCAATGCAGGTTCCTCATGTGTTTAACGAACAGCATCATGACCTTGGACTGGAAGGGAGGTCGGGGGTCAGAAATAAATCTTCATTTGCCTAATCACTCAGTGCAACAAGTGATGTATTTTTTGTATCAATTATAGTTTAGAATGCTTTCATGACAGATACAGATGCACTTTCTCTTCTGTGTGAACTGTTTTTGAATTTACGGATATGTGTTACAACATGGGCCAAAATGGAAAGAACAGCCATTTTTAGATTTAGTAATAGACCCTGGATGTGTAGCTCTTAAATTAAAAATATCTACATATGAATGCATATTCTGTGATCAGATGCAGTCTTAAAGCAGGCAGATACACCAAGGCTGTTTGTCTCATATTTCTCCTACAGTAGAAAGTTGTGTGGGTAGTGTGAGCAAATGTAAAAAAGTTAATATTTAGGGTGCATAACGTGACATGTCTTCAACAAGCCAAAGGAGATTTAGATCACAGTGTAAACATTGCCTGTCAAACTATTTGCAGGTTTACTAAATTTTTAACGTCCTTGTATGTTTTCAGTAATCTAAAACAGGCAAATAGCATTAAGAGTGTTCAAATTCACATGGGATATGAAAAGCAACATATGATATTTTTCAGTTGCTCATTCAACTATTTTAGTAATACAAATAGTAAAAGTGCTAATTCATAAAGCTATTGCTTGGAAACAATAATGACCCAGCTAATTTCTTCATAGCAATACTGTGCCTATAATGCAAATCAAAGACTATGCACACAAAAATTAAAAAGTTTAAGGATGCAATGAGTTGTCTTTAAAGTTACATGGCCTCAGTCAGATGGAATATCCCACAGAGAATGATTTAGCAGGGGTCTCAAACATGCGGCCCGGGGGCCATTTGCGGCCCCCCAGATGATAGTTTGTGGCCCTCGCCTTGCCTGCCCCCCCCAAAGCACCCACACATCCTCTGCTGTCAAGAGTAAAAAAAAGCCTTGCCTCGCTCACCAGCTCTCTCCCAAGACAGCACCTCTTGCACCCTCCGTCCAGAACTGCAGCCTGCCAGCCAGCCCACCTGTCTGTCGGCTAAGGAAACTCCTGGGCGGCTTCCTCGGGCTCTTGCTCCGCTTGGCAGAAAATCTGATGCGGCCCAGCCTCACCCAGACTCTGTCTCTAGCGGCCCCCAGGTAAATTGAGTTTAAAACCCCTGATTTAAGGAGTCTACCAATGCATGGAAACTCAGTAACAAGATTAACTGGAGGAATTCTGTGTAATAAGAAATATTTAACACACTGCAGCTCCACTGTTCAGTTCACAAGTGATGAACCTGAAAATATCTTCTTTCACTTACTTGGCCAGATCACCTGACCAAACTCTATATATAGATAGATAGATAGATAGATAGTTCCTTTGGGTCATTTCTCTTTGATTTTTTTATATGATTGCTGTTCCCATGTAGATCTAAAACATGCAATTGTTGTTCTATGTCTTTTATTTGGGAGGACTGAATTCCAAAAGGCTGGCCACTACAGTTCCCAGTCAATTAAAATACAAGCTATGTGTGTGAAGCATGCATTAACCTGAAAACTCTTGGAAAACTGCCCCGTCCTGAATTCTCATATTAAAAGTTTACAGTTACCAAGCTGATACTAACCAAGCCCATTATAAATCTATAGGACTATTAAGAGAATGGCATAATACTTAGAAAATTCCTAATTAAAAAAAACGATTAAAATTACTCATTGCACTCCTAGGGTGAAGGTATTTTAATTTATTATTATTTTGAAATTTTGGCTTCTCCTATGTCACATTAAGAAATAACTATATGAACTGTGATATAGATATACACTATGGGACTAAGATGTAACATCATCTTGGCTGAATTTCTCCTACTGTATAGCATTTATAGCATAATGCTTAATTCATACCCAGTTAATATGTCTGTTCTTATTTTTACAGTTTTGCAAATTTGAGAATAATTTTGTGTGTGTGTGTGTGTGCACACACATGCATGTCCGCTCACATAAACACACAAAAGCTGACTGCACCATTGTATTTTGAAAGTACTTTAATCAAAGAAGTTTGTGTGGGCATCTATTTTGCAAGAGTGTGGAATGATTACATAAGGCACAGCATTTCGAGGATCACAGCTGTTGCTTCTTATACAATCATTCTTAAATGCATGAAATCAATGGGAGTTTTGTCTGAATAAAAACAGCAGGACCTGGCACAAAAACAGCTCCAAACCATTCATTATTGGTTCTTGCTGTGAAACTTCATTTAATACAAGGAGAGGAAAAATATGCAAAAATTGATAGGAGTTTCTTTTTCTTCTTAGTACCTCACAATGAAACATAAAGCAACTGTGCAGCTTTTATTTTCTATGGACTGAGAGTGCTTCATCTCCCAGGGTTATGGCTTTGTAAATTGCTAGTTTTTTTAAAGAACCCCTTAAAAAAGGCAAACAATAAAGCAACACTAAATTTATCTTTGAACTCCATATATGGCATGCTCCAAAGTTTAAAATCATTACTAAACCAAGGGAATAAACCAATAATGTTCTGCTGAAAGCAAGGTACAAAATATAGATGTAGTCAATGTGCCTTTGAAAATTGAATTTTTGCTATGCATTGCTCATGAACCAATTCACTTCATTTTGATGATACCAAACTACAGTATGCTGTTGTATCTGGTGAAATAAGCTTATGATTTAATCTTTACGTTAAGACAAAAATGCCTAGTAGTTGACTAGTATATGCTGCAGTACATATCTATATCACATGAATTAGGCCATGCCTCCCACTCTCACTACCGCTGGCCAGGAAGTGTAGTTAAAATCGCACACAATGAGCCGCTCAATAGGAACACAAATGCTCAGATGAAGCTCAATTTAGAATCTGGAAATGCTCAGTATTATCCCATTTTTCCATATTTCTGCACTGTGAATTCATCACAGTTTTTTGCCATTTAAAAATCTGAGTTGATTTAAGATACCATGAAAAACTAATTACTTCTGTATTTTAACTATCCAGTGTTATGAAATATACTACTCAGGTAAAGACTGTGAATTATAAGACTTCTTTTATATTAAGTAATGCTGCCTGTCAGGCATTGTGACTTTCACACCTCTTCTGAAAACCTTTGGATCTTTAAAAGCTTATCAAGAATTCCTCAACGGCAAGATTTCTAAAACAGTTTATCCACCACATTTTAATCTTCTTTTTCAACATGCAGCCATCAGAAGAATATTTAATATGCTCTAGGCTTACAAGTTGTAAGTACATATAGTTAAGGCATGATATTAGTCCAAGATCTAGTCTTCGCTTGATGTCCTGATCATTGTTTTCAGTTATATTTATATTCTGTCTTTTGTCAAATTAAATCAAGGCAGTGTGAATGGGTTTCTTCCTCATACTTTATCCATACAACAATGCTGGATGTTAGATTGGGGAAGGTCACTCAATGAGCTTCATGGCCAAGAGAGGATATGAACTGGTATCACTCAAGGCCCAGTCTGAGACTATTACACCACTGTCTGATTCACTCAGTTAACTCTGTATAGTGCAGCATGGTTTCCAGAAGACGATGTTTCTTTTATTTGAATAAAATGAGAGACGTGAGGTTGTTATGAATCATGATGAGAAATTACAAATTTTTCCTACCATTACTAGCAGAGAAACCAAGTGAAGACAAGGTTTGCCACAATTTGTACTAGACCAAGGATGTGCACCATTAATGATACATGTGAGTGGTCAAATTGTGGGCTGAAGGTGACAACTAGTAGTGTTCTCTTTTGGTCTTGGAGCTCATCGCTAATGGTGACTGTGGTTCCCAATCTTGGGCAATCCAGGTGTTCTTGGACTACAACTCCCAGAAAACCCAGCCAGCACAGCTGGTGGTGAAAGCCCCTGGGATTTGCAGTCTAAGAACATCTGGGATAGCCAAGGCTGGGAACCGCTATGTACAACCAAGCACATAAATATAACTGCATGTACTCGGACCCACAATATAGAGACAATAAACTCAAGGACCTACAAAGGGAATTTCTCAGATTACAATACCCACCCAATATGGTTAAAGAATTAACCAGGCAAGACAAATATCCAGAAGCAACCTATTGTAAGACAAACCCAAAACAGAAAATGATGGAACACCACTGGTTGTCACTTTTAGCCCACAACTGGGACCACTCACATGCATCATTAATGACTGTCAACCCATTCTTGACAAGAATACTTCACTTTCCCAAGGATGTGCAGTTTCCCAGAGTGAAAGATTGTCATCTTTTGAAATCTACATTGCCACTGCTTTTCATGCATAGATACAGTAGCTTGTAGTGTAAGCACCACAGGTCACCTATACATGGCAGGTTGGGGTGTGCTCTAACTATGGGTCCCATCAATGGTGTCATGCTACCATCAAAATTTGGTGACTATTGCAAAATTTGTCACCACTAGTGCAGTTGCTGTCTGATGTTGGTGGCAACCGCAGCAGCTCTCTGTGCTGTACTTGTGGTAAAGCATCTTCTTCCA